CATCTAGTGTAGAACCTTAGGGTGGACTACTTAAATAGGCAACCAAAAGTTGCATGCATGACTAGCTGTACTCTTATATTTGTAAAAATAGTTGTAATAGCTAACCCAATATAAAGTCAATAAAGTATTACTACAAGTATGGCCTTTAATAAAAAAAAAAATTTAGAAAATTAAGTTAGTAAAAACAGAAGATGCATTAAAAGCTTCAATAGAAAAGCCATGCAAGTCAAAAATACCATAAAAGATAAAGTGAGTAGCTGAGGTTTTGACTGCTGCCACACCTTGCAAAACAATTATTTCTGTCATTATAAATAATACAACATCTAAATTAATAGAAGAAATATTAGTTAATCTATATAATCTTGCAACAAAGTCAGAAGAGAATGTTGAAAAGTGTAATGTGATAAAAATATGAAGGTGGTATAATTACAGTGAAAAATTTGAGAATCAGATAAAAGAATTAACAAATAAAGACATAAAAGACAGATCAGCTTATACATATATCTACAAGAATATGTTATATCATCTTCCAGAATTAATAATAGATAATCTTCATTAGAAAATACATAAGACATAAAATTTATATTATTTATTTAGTAAAGTTTAGCACTAAAAAAATTGATCAGATCAGATTTTTTATAACTAATTAACTTTTAAAAGATAAATGAGATAATATTAATAAAATTATTAGTCAGGTAAAGTATAGAAAGACTAGTTAAATATATAATAATAATATAGAATTGTTATACATTTTATATAATATAAAAAAATTAGAAACATATGCATTTTATATAGTTCAATAAAAAAGTAAAATGTATTAAATGAATACTAAAGTGTTTCAATTTAATTATTTTTATTTTTATTAAATTGATTTGGCCTAAAATTATTATTAAGCAGCATTAGGTTTTTACTGTCATTAGACAATACAATATTAGATTGTTTTTATTTTCTTTAACTGTTAAAATCATTTTGAAAGTAATAAGAAATATCAATAAAATAAATAAAAATGAAAGTGAAAATAAAGCATATTAGCAGGTTAAAATACAATATAATTATTATAAATCTTCTCTACAGATCTTTCGTTCAAAATTTCCAGAAAGTAAAACTTAGCAAAACTCAATAAATAGACTAGAAAACAAGACTTGAGGTACTAACAAAAAAGATAGAGCAGCAAAAATTGCATATATTTTAATAGAAGATACAAAGAGAAGCCTTAAAGTCAACAAAGAACAACATATAAAAAACCTTTTACAAAAAATAAAAATTTTTTTTTGTTTGAAAAATTGAGGAACTGCCAAAACCCTATACCATAGATCCTTTAAGTTACATCAACTAGCTTAATCTAGATACAACATGTGACATAAAAGCATATAGAAAATGGTTGTGCAATATGAATAGAAATTTGCCAGAAAAATACAGAGAAAGCCTTAATGTAATTTTTACAAGAAGGGCATATGAGACAATGAATAGTGTGCATAATAAAATTTTTTTTAATGAGACAAGCAAGGCATATGCAATACCTAGCAGAGAAGACAATATTGTTGCAGTACTTATAAGACAGAACCCAAATAAAATAGCACTTCTATGAATAACAAGAAAATACTAGAAAAAGCAGAAAGAGAATTGCCTGAAAAGAAGTTGGATTTTGTAGAACAGTACTAAGATAGAATAAATATAGAAAGAAAGAAAGAATAGCAATAGACAAATAAGATAAAAGAAAGACAAGAAAAGTTGAAGATAGAGACAAAAAAAATTGAAGAAGATAAAGAGGTCAATATGAGTTTATAAGCAATCATCAAAACAGCAGAAAAAAAAGTAAGTATAGAGGTAAGACGGACAAATAATAACCAAATAGAAGCTGAATCATCCATCTATATGGGAAAAGAAGAAAACAGAAAAAAGGACAAGAACAAGAAGATATAGAAATAAATAGAAAAGAATCAAGACAGAGATTAACAACAAAAGAAAAAGAAAAGAAAAAAAGAAGAAAACAAGAAATCAAAAGAGAAATTAATATAGTGGAAGTACTACTTGAAGAAAGCATGTGGATACTAAGCAAAAGAGGCTGCAATCGAAATAACAACCTACTTGCAAACATATCAGCACATAATGTATCTAGAAAGACCAAAGAAGAACGAATGAACTTTATTAGATGGTCACTAAAGAATAATGAATATGTCAAGAACATTAAAGAGGTTTTCAAAAGAGGAATCTTTGGATAGAAGTAGACTTTGACTGTGAATACAGCAGAAGTGAGGCAATACAAAGAATTAGCAAAAAAAAAAATGATTGGTACAAAATAATCGCAGAAAAAGAAAGTATAGACAAGAAGGAAAAAGAGAAAACATATGATAAAGACTATCAAAAAGAAAAGAACAATACATCAAAGTTTAAAAAGAAGGAATAGAAACATTAAGAAAGCAAAAGAGAGCTAACAGAAGAACAAATAGATATTAGGAAGAAGAAAATACAGAAATATAAATATATAATAATCTGGAATCTACTAGCAAATATAAACAGAAAAGAGATTAAATATATATGCAGAAGATTTAAAAAAGCACATATAATAAGAATCAAGAGATCCAAATACAAGTCTCTCGCAATAGTCCAAGTCAAAGAATCAGAAAAAGAAGACATATCATGGTCAATACCAGTTAACAGTAACAAACTGATAAGAGTAACAGAAGGTAAAGAAAATTATGAATCAAAACAAAAACAGAATCAGTATATAGCAAAAATAACAGAGCTGCCAGGCAATGCCTTAGAAGTCTTGCTGCTATATTGCCTAAGGAGCAAAAGTGCAAAATCAGTATATATTCCACCAAACAAAAATGAAAATCAAAGAAGAACAGCAATAATCACATTTGTGACAGAAAAAGAAATAAAGGCAGCCTAATCAAAACCAATTAAATATAACAATTTCCAAGTCACCTGGATAAACAAAAGAAGATATGAAATAAAGAAAGGAGAAAGTTTTAGAGGAAAAAGAGAAAGAAGCTAAGAAAGAAATAGCCAAAATCAGAATAGAAAACATATAGAAATAAGAAGTGATTCTTTCATACAAGATGCAGAAGAATGGTTAGAAGATGAAAACACTATTAACAGAAAAAGCTAAGACAAAATTGGTCAGGCCCTAAATAGAAAATACATCGAAATAGAAAGTGATCCCTAGTTACAGAACATAAAAGAATGGTTAGAAGTTAAAAACACTAATGCAGTGTTAATATTAAGAGTTTTACACATTTTTGATCATAACTTTTGATATACTAAACCAATTTGGATGAAACAACTACCATTGGATTCAGCTCACTGAGACGATTCTAATGAGCACAAGATCATGTGATTCTGATCATGAGATCACGAGATCAGGATGATTTTGATGAAAAGCACTAATTATAATACATGTGACTTGATTCTGATTGGCTCAAATTACTGTGCTGGAAATCTAGCATTTCTATCATTTTTATCATTTCTAGTAGATCTATCATTTCTATTAGATCTATTATTTCTACCAGATCTATTAGTTCTATCATATCTATTATTTCTATTATATCTACTATATTTACTATATCTATTATATATATTATATCTATTATATCTATTATATCTATTAGTTCTTATTACTATAAATAGCATTTATTAGCAATAGAGTAGTTTTTATTATAATTATTTATACATATAAAATATTTATAAAAGCACTACTTTCCAACCTTTCAAGAAAGTTAAGTGTCTTCATATACTTCAATAGGAAGTGTTTTTATACACTTCAATAGGAAATGTCTTTATATATTTCATAGTAAATAAATTGAATGTAATATTTAGTATCTTCATATATTATCTATTGTTGTCTCTGCTTTAAAAATTCCAAATTACTCTGTATTTTATTAAGTCTTGTGTAGACTTTTGTATAAAATCTGTCAAGTTATAGTTATCATACTATAGTTGAGCAGCTTCTGTTATTACTATAATTAAAGAAAAAACTACAGATTAACATTTTGGTAGTGACTGTGAGATAAGTTCTCAATTTATTATAAATAATTGATTTTAGTTAGTTATTAGGAAACTCTGTTAATATTGGTCTATTTGACCTGAAATTTGAAGAGTATATACTTGAAAACCTACTACATCTTTTTTATAAACATATTTTAATAAGAAAATCTCTCTGGAATCTGCTATTCAACATCAAATTAGTGACATCATTTTTGATCTACAAAGAATTTACAAGAAACCTCTCTTGGAGAAGCATTCTGACTATCATTACACCAACTTTAAATGCCCATATCTCAGTAAATACTGGACCAATTTTAGTGTTTTGACCTCTTTTAGAACCAAACGGACTTTTTCTACAACTTTTTTTTAAATAACAAATCCTGTTGTCATAGTAAATTAAAAAGATATTCAGTGATTTCTAAAAATTAGAATTTAGAAATGAAACTATAAGTGTTTGCATTGTAACAAACAGCTTCAAATTGATAGTACAGATAATTTAACTTTAAAAGATATTTATTAAAGTTATTTATACATATCCAAGAATATATTATTCAAATATCTTTATCTCAAATAGACACTTTCTTGAATAAATTCTTCTAAAAAGAATGACAACTCAAAAGAATCTTTTAAATTAATTCAAGAGATTTAAATTGATAGCATAGCTTGAAGTCTTTAAACTACAAAATTTATAAACAAAAAAAAATTATTATTAAATAGATATTATATATAGTTATTGGATAATCTTTCTTTAAGAAATCTAGAATAAATAGTAGTCTAGAATTATTTGTAGCTTTATTTTTAGTTTTAGTTATAATCTTTTTATTTAAATTAGTTAGAAATACTATATTTGAGATACCTGTAAGTCATAAATATAGCCTGATACTGGTAAGTTAATAAGTACTATGCATGGTGAAGAATTAGCAATTTTGGAAAAGAATAATGAACCTAAAGAGAGGTTCTATATTAAAAAATAGTTGTAATTAGGAAACATCAATGAATATTGGTACAATCGATTTAAAATTTTAAGGACATATTTTTTGAAGAATTCTGCATCTTTTCTACTAAGCTTATCTTAGTAAGGAAATATCACCCTGTTTCGAAAATCATGTGACAGTCTTTTTTTTTGCTTCTATAAAAGAGACTTTAAAGAAGAATTAAAGAAAGAAAAGAAATGTTTTGAATTTCTTAAAATCAATATATAAATTATCTATTAGACCAATTTTAACATTTCAACTATCATTAAAATTATTGGAGTCTGCTCTACAACTTTATTTAAGAGCTCAAGACATGTTTATTTAGTATCAAACCTATTTTCA